GGTGGGGTGAGGAGGTGGGAAGGGGGAGGATGCTCATTAGAAATGCAGGCTCCATCACTGCACTCCAGCCTAGGTGACAAGAGTGAGACCCCAACTCAAAAAAAGAAAAAAAGAAATACAGATTCCTGGTCCCTATTCCGGATCTGCAGGATCACTATCATCTCGGGGGAAGATGAGTACATATTTTTCACAAAAAATATCCAGAAAACTCTGATGCTCCCTGAATCTGAAAATCCACCAATTTAGGGTGACCCTTTATTTTGTGGTGAGGAAGCAGGGCTGGAGAATTTGTCAGGTCGGCCTCACAGTATGCCCTAGGCAAGAGCAAACCACACTTCCTGACCTGAGATGAGAGCTTGTCTGTGCACCTCAAGCATGCAGACAGGTTCAAATGTACTTCTGGGTCATTAGGGTAATTTCAGCCCTGGAGTGGGAGAACATGTTTCTGAACAAGGTGTGAAGGTAAAGACAGCCATGGACTAATGGGAGGAGTTTATGTGCTGCTGCTTTTGTCTGAACTAAATCCTGAGTGAACCTGAGCTGTATTCTCCCATCCTTCTTGACTTGTGAGAGTCCAGAGGCCTGTCCAGAGCTGGGAGGATGCTAACCTGTGAGACATCCTACAGTTAAACTCCCAGTCTGCTGAGCTGTGGGCCTGTGCCCAGTTCAGTTGATGCAAGCATTGTTAGACTGTCTGCTTTTTAGAAATGCATATTTGTGTATTTTATTGTTATTTTTGAGTCAGGGTCTCACTCTGTCACCCAAGCTGGAGTGCAGTGGCATGATCACGGCTCACTGTAGCCTTGACCTCCTGAGCTCAGGAAATCCATCTGCCTCAGCCTCACAGGTAGCTGGAACTACTGGCATGCACCGCCATGCCCAGCTCACTGTTTTTTTTTTTTTTGAGTTGGAGTGTCACTCTGTCACCCAGGCTGGAGTGCAGTGGCTGCTCCTGGCCACTGCAGCCTCGACCTGCTGGGCTCCGGCGATCCTTCTGCCTCAGCCTTCCAAGTAGCTGGAACTACAGGCACGTGCTACCACGCCCGGCTAATTTTTGATTTATTGTAGAGATGAGGTCTTGCCAAGTTGCCCAGGCGGGTCTCGAACCCACGGGCTCAGGCAATCCACTCACTTCGGCCTCCCAAAGCACGGGATTACAGGCTGAACCACCGAGCCTGGCCCAGCTCACTTTTTAATTTTTTCTAAAGATGAGCTCTGGCTACATTGCCTAGGCTGGTCTCGAATTCCTGGGCTCAACAAGTGATCCTCCCAGCGTGCTGGGATTACAGGTGTGAGCCACCATGCCCGGCCCATATTTGTTTATTTTAGTATTGCCGATGTGTGTTGCATCCTGAAAATGAGAATAAAGTCATAAAAATGATAGACTGATAAGCCCAGTAGTACCTAGTAAAGACTATATACAAAGAGGGACCCCCAAAACTCGGAATTATCTTTTAGAGGGTGGGCTTCTTGTAGTACACTCAGAATTTGTTCTTCTGGGTCACATGATCAGTTGAAGTTTTTATCTGGAAGTTTTGAGGTTTTATCTGAGAAGTTTGAGAAGGTGTCACAGTTTGCAGAAAAAACATCCCTAGTTGTGGTAAACAGTGACTGGTTCTTCACTGTGACAACGCACCTGTCCACACCACGCTGAATGTTCAGCAGTTTTTGACCAAAAACAGCACGACCCCCATGACCCCCACTCCCTGTTCATCCAGTCTCAACCCTAGTGACTTTTTTCAGTTTCCTCAGATGATAAAAGTCCTCATAGGGAAATGTCTTGCCGATGTGGAAGATGTGGAACAAAAAAAGGCAGAAGCACTCAAGGTCATCAAAACTGACAAGTTTAAAAACTTTTGAGCTGTGGAAAAAGTGTCTCGATAGGTGTATTGCATCAAACAGAGTGCCTTGAAGGTGGCGGAAGTTTAGACATGTAAGAATAAATAAACTCCAGTCAGGATGGCCATCATCAATAACTCAAAAACAACAGATGCTGGAGAGGATGCAGGGAAAGGGGAACGCTTCTGCACTGTTGGTGGGAGTGGAAACCAGTGCAGCCTCTGTGGAAAACAGTTTAGTGATTTCTGAAAGGTCTAAAAATCGACCTTCCATTCGACTCCACAATCCCCCTCCTGGGAATATACCCGGAGGAACTCAAGTCACTCTATGAAAAGGATACCTGCATATGTATGCTTATTGCAGCATTGTTCACAACAGCAAAAACATGGAACCAAACATGCTGCCCACTGAAAAAGGACTGGATAAAAAAATGTGGTACATATACACGATGGAATATTATGCAGCCATAAAGAAAGACAAAATTAGGAATTTCACAGCAACTTGGATGGATTTTAGGGTCTATAACACTGAGTGAAGCAAAGAACAGAGTATCACATAGTTTCACTTGTAAGCAGGGCTTGAACAATTATCATAATACTGTAAGAAAAGGATTGGCAGTAGTGGGAAACTGCCGGGGCGGGGGGCGGGATCGGCAGTAGTGGGAATCTGCAGGCTGGGGGGGCACTCCTCATCAAAAGGGTACCTGCATAAAGAACATTTGTATACCTAACCCTGAATTATACCCCACATCTTTAAAATAAAAAATTAAAAAAGAATACACTATTTTTTATAAATTCCATTTTTTGAGGATCCCCCTTGTAAATATTTAGCAAATGCTTACTAATATCTATGATATTCAAAACTCAAACAACCAAAAAGCTAAAATAAATGCATATATTTTTTTCAGGGTTATATGGTGAGAATTTAAACGATACCAATGATCCTAAATTTCTTTAAGATCACAGTCACTTTCTAACTCTTTTTTTTTTGAGTCGGAGTTTCACTCTGTTACCCAGACTGGAGTGCAGTGGCCGCTCCCAGCCACCGCAACCTCAACTTGCTGGGCTCCGGTGATCCTTCCACCTCAGCCTTCCAAGTAGCTGGAACTACAGGCGCGCACTACCACGCCTGGCTCATTTTGATTTATTGTAGAGATGAGGTCTCACCAGGTTGCCCAGGCGGCACTTTCTAACTCTTAAGGAAAGATTGAATTCTATTTTGTGTTATGTTAGTGTTAAGTCAATTTGTCACCTATTTTTGGAAACAGTAATATCCATAATGATAATGTTAATGTGTTTGAGCTCCTAGTAATGGAAACGGGGTGAGACATGATCATTATGTCACTATTATTGTTTTTTTAAAGATGTGGGATACAGTTCAGGCTTAGGTATACTGATCATTATATTATTATTGAAAGAGTAACTTATTGTCATGTCCAATCACGAAATAGGCTTAGTGTCCAACCTCCTTGTTCAATATAGCTCTTGGTACCCAATCATGAAATGGGCCACTTGGTAGAGTTTCTAAAATGAAAGCTGCAGATCAGAAATGCCAGAATGATGGTGCTGTTTGTGTATCTTTGATGACTGGGGTTTTGTCCTTGGAGATGATTTTGACAGAATTTCCATACTCATCAGTAGAAAGTAGTTCCTGCTATCTAGAGAAGAGTCATGGCTCTTTTGTGGCAGGGTCGTGGTTATCACCAGGTCTCTTGGCAGTACCAGGACAGTGTGCAGTATCACAGACTTTCTTGGGTCTGGAAAGGCATTAACGGTCACTTGCAGGCGACAGCTTTGTCTCGGGCAGGGTTTGTGAAATAGAGAGACGAGAAGAAGATGCTGTGTAAGGAGAAATGATATGCGGAGAGTGAAGTGAGCACACTGTTTACTTGGGGACCAGTGAGGAGAGTTCTCTGGCTGAAATAAAAAGGGGTTGTATTCCCATTGGAGGGTAGTGGGGGGAAAGTTGGAAAGATGAGACGGGGCCAATCGGAGGCCAAATGTCTTACACTGGTTTTGTAAGCAAACGAAGCCTGCGTATTGGCTTTGAGATCTCTCTCACACTCTCTCTTTTGAGTCGGGGTCTTCCTTTTTCATGCAGGCTGGAGTTCTGTGGTGTGATCACGACCCACAGCAGCCTCAAACTCCAGGGCTCGGGCGATCCTTCCACCTCTTCATCAGTTGTGGGATCATTTCAGCATCAGGCAAGCTCAGAGCCAGATCCACACTCTGCCTGTTAATGGGTAGGCGACCCTGGATGAGATGCTGAGACTCCCAGATGTCTTAGCTTCCTCTTCTGTAAGGTAGAGTCAGCAGCGTCTTCCTCATAGAGATGTTGTGTGGGTTGGACAGGATCCCACGTGAGCAGCTCCCACCGAAGGGCCCGGCAGCGATAACGTCCTGAGCGGGGCAGTGCGGAGGTGAAGGAGTGCTTGCAGAAACTGGCTGTGGCAGTTGCGTGGCGAGTAGGTGGCATCAGAAGAGCCCGGAGACAGGGGACCGCGATGACCCTGACGGAGTGCCAAGAGGAGAGGTGGCGGAGGCAGTCAGACTAGGAAGAAGAGGACACAGCTGCACAACCTGTCTTCCGGCTGTAGAAATGATCCCTGAAAGCACAGTCTTGCCCAACTCTCTTCTCTGTGACTTCCTTTTGGCTGCAGCCTTTCGGTTAAGACTTGAGGGTTGAATAGCCTTGTTCTGGGGCATTGAAAGTACAGCGAAAACCATGGGTTCTTTTTTTTCCTGAACAGGATGCCAGAGAGCCATAGGTCTTTCCAGCGGGAAGGCCAAGGTGTGCAGTTACAGCGGGTGGTATTACTGCAGCAGCTGCCACGTCGACGATAGTTTTCTGATCCCAGCACGTGTCGTCCACAACTGGGATACTTCCAAATACAAGGTAGGTTCAAAACCCGGCTCTCGGTGACAGTAACTTGGGTGCCTGCATGCTGTCAGGTAAATTACAATGACAATGATTAAAAAAAAAAAGTGAAGCAAACTTGTTTAGGTAGTCTCATAAAAGCTATAGTGTTTTATCTAAACCTTCTTATATATCTCATGGTTTAGAGGCTTCTTAACTGTGATTCTTTTTAATTTCCTCATTGAAAAAGATGTGTGTGTGTGTGTGTGTGTGTGTGTGTAGCAGTTTTTACTTCTGGGCCCTGATAATTAATTGTAAGTGCTAAGAGAATTTTGATAGCGAGCGGGTTCTCTTTTGTTATTTTTATTTCACCTTATCTCTAACATCACAACACTATGGGAGAATAAAAGTGGGAAAATGATGCATGTGCTAGTGATCGTCCAAGAAGCGGACTTATATAACCCAAGGTATTTCTTATAGTAGAGTAGTACTCCTACATGTGAAGTTCAGTCTTCTAGCAAACGCAGGCCACCTGGACCTGGAACCTTGTGAGAAGCTATGAAGCTTCTAGGTGGGGCCCACAGCAAGCAGCGGTGCACAGGGCCATCCTCAGACCATCATCAAGACTCTTGTTTTTTAAAAAGGTGACAAGGGAGAAGTGCAGGTATGTGCCAACAGCTTTGGAAAGCAGCTGCTGACAGCCAAGGAGCACAGATAGCAGGCTTGGTAGCTGTAAAAATATGAGTCATCCGGGCTCGGTGGCTCAGCCTGTAATCCCACACCTTGGGAGGCTGAGGTGAGTGGATTGCCTGAGCCCGTGGGTTCGAGATCCGCCCAGGCAACTTGGCGAGACCTCATCTCTACAATAAATAAAAAAATTAGCCAGGCGTGGTAGCGCGTGCCTGTAGTTCTACCTACTTGGAAGGCTGAAGCGGAAGGATTGCCGGAGCCCAGTGGGTCGAGGCTGCGGTGGCCGGGAGCAGCCACTGCATTCCTGTCTGGGTGACAGAGTGAGACTCCAACTCACACACAAAAAAAATGAGTCAAAGAGGAGAAGGGGAAGAGTGGATACTGGGACACTGGGGCTTAAGAGAATAGAGAGAAGAGGAGGAACCAGCAGAGGAGGCCAAGGAGTGAGCAGTGAGGTAGAAGGATCCCAGGGTGTCTGACAAGCCATGTGAAGAAAGTGTTTCCAGATGAATTGTGATAGATGCTGATGGGTCAAATAAGATGAGCTGTGAGAATTGACCACTGGCTTAGTAATGTGGAGATAATTAGTGACCTTAATGAAAGCAGCTTGAATGGAGTGGCGAGAGCAAAGGTCTACTTGGAGTGGGTTCAACATATAATAGAAGGAAAGAAATAAGAGACAAGGATAGACAGCGCTTTTGAGAAGTTTTGCTGTGAAGGGAGGGAGAGCAGGCAGGAGCAACTCAGAGGGGAGTGGGGGCGGCTTAGGCTTGATTTTTTGTTTTAATGGAAAAAATAACTGCATGTTTTCTATGCAGATGTGGACTATCCAGGAGGGAGAGAAGTCCAGGGGAAGTACAGGCTTGCGTAGACAGCAGGCAGTTTGGCCATTGCTTGCAGTATGGAATAAGAGAAAAGGCAGTCTGTGGCCTTGGTGGCAGGTGGGAGGGAGATGTGCTATGTTGGGAGCCTAGGGAAGTTCTCTTCCACTTACATCTTTAGCCTTCATCCGATTATTCTGTTTTGGCCATCTGTGAGCTTAAAGAGATGTTGTACCTAGTCTGAGTCATTCTAGGAGGTGCCTTGATCTTCTGCTTCATAAAGAAAATGGGGTGATGGCACAACTCACTTACAAACGCACCTGCAAACTTCCTGCACCCACATCCCTCCTCGGCCTCTTTCCAGCCACAGCAGAGCCATTACTTCTCTTCTGGAAGTTTATTTCTTCTGCTTGTGTTCATGGTCTTAACTGCTCTCTTCTCCATCATGGTTTTGCCAAATTTTGTTGACCCTGGGCAGTTTCCTCTTCCGCTGGACTTCTCTGGGATCCAGTATGTGGCCAGGTGGGCCACTCTCTTCTTGAATTCTCCTCCTCCCTTGGCTTTTCCTCCCTGGTTCTCCTCTTCCTTCTAACTCTTTCCTAAGATTTATTATTTTGTTTTCTTTTCCCACATGATGCTTTTCCTCTTAGGTCATCTCCCTTCCATGCTTTAGCTACCAAGGCTCAAATGCTCATGATGCCTATGCTTCTAGCTCCAGCTTTGCTATGGAAATTGAGATCTGTGGCTTTGGTTGCCTAATGGACATCTCAACTTTACTTTTCAACCTGGTAGTCTTCAAGACGTGTGAGCTGGTGAGCTATATTGTGCAGCATTTCCACTGGTAGAATAGTTTCCACCTTAGTAGAATCTGGCAAGGCCAGGAACCTGCCTCCCCATTGGGGTGGTGCTCAGGCTTGGGATTCTGCTGTGGTCCTATGTCTTGCACATGCGACAGATGATGTAGTTTTGTTACCTAGTATTGCAAAGATTACAAGAAGCTTTTCTAATCCTTCTGCCAGAATACTGTGACATCTGCCTTGAATGAATTTTGTGTCCAAAATGCCTCATGTAAAAACAGGCTGTATGACTTCTTTTTACTGATGTTTCATAGTTGTGCATATTTATGGTGTATATGTGATATTTTGATACATGCATGCAGGATGTGATGATCAAATCAGGGTATTCACTGTCACAAACATTTATTTCTCTATATTGGGAACATTCACAATTTTCTCTTCTAGCTATTTTGAAATATGCAATAAATTATTGTTACTATAGTTGCCCTACGGTGCTGTGGAACACTGGAGCTTGTTTCTTCTACTGAACTGTCTCTTTCTATCCATTAATAAGTCTCTCCTCATGCCCTCCACCCCACCACCCTTCCTGGCCTCTGGGGACCACCAGCCTACTCTCCATCTTCATGAGATCCACTTGTTTAGATCCCTTATGTGAGTGAGCACATGTGATATTTGTCTTCCTGTGCCTGGCTTGTTTCACTTAGCATAATGACCTCTAGTTTCATCCATGTTGCTGCAAATGACAAGATTTCATTCTTTTTTATGGCTGAATAATACTTTTCTCTGTGTATGGTGTGTTTGCATGCACGGGGCACATTTTCTTTATCCATTTATCCATTGATAGGTGATTAGGTTGATTCCATGTCTGTTTTCTTTTGGATGTATACACAGCAGTGAGACTGCTGGATCATATGGTAGTTCTATTTTTAGATTCTTTGAGAAACCCCTGTACTGTTTTCTACAGTAGCTGTACTGGTTTATGTTCTCACCAACATGTCCCCTTTCATCTCATCTTCACCAGTATCTGCTATTAATATTTTGCATCTTTTTGATAACAGCTATTTTAACTGAGTTGAGATGATATCTTATTGTGCTTTTTATTTGAATTTCCTTCATGATCAATGATATTGAGCATTATTTTATCTGTTTGTTGGCCTTTTTTGGGGGGGGAGGTTGAAGTCTCACTCTGTCACCTAGGCTGCAGTACAGTGGCATGCTCATGGCCACCTCAGTCTCAACCTACTGGGCTCAGGCGATCCTTCCGCCTCAGCCTTCCAAGTGGCTGGACCTACAGGCGCATGCCACCATTCCCAGCTAAATTTTTGATTTACTGTAGAGACGAGGTCTTGCCATGTCACTCAGGCTGGTCTGGAACCCCTGGGATCAGGCATTCCTCTTGCTTCTCTCTCCCAAAGTGCTGGGGATTATATGTGTGAGCCACCATGCCCCATTCTGTTGGCCTTTTGTATATCTTTATTTTATTTTATTTTACTTTTTGAGTCGGAGTCTTACTCTGTTGCCCAGACTGGAGTGCAGTGGCCATTCACGGCCACCACAGCCTTGACCTGCTGGGCTCCGGCGATCCTTCCGCCTCAGCCTTCCAAGTAGCTGGAACTACAGCCGCGCGCTACTACGCCTGGCTAATTTTTTGATTTATTGTAGAGATGCGGTCTCACCAAGTTGCCCAGCGGGTCTCGAACCGCGGGCTCAGGCAATCCACTCTCAGCCTCCCAAGGCGCGGGATTACAGACTGAGTCACCGAACCTGGCTTCTTTTTTTTTTTAGAAATGTTTATTTAGATCTTTTGCCCATTTTAAAGTCAGATTATTTTTATGATTATTTGCTGTTGAGTTGCTTATATTCTAGTTATTAATCCCTTGTTGGATAGATGATTTGTATATATTTTCTCCCATTCTGTAAGTTGTCTCTTCACTTTGTTTATTGTTTCCTTTGCTCTGAAGAAACTTTTTAGCTTAATAATATCCCATTTGTCTGTTTTTGTTTTAATTGCCTGTACTTTTGAGATCTTATGGAAAAAACCTTTGCCTGTACCAGTGTCTTGAAGCATTTCCCAGTGTTTTCTTCTAGGAGTTTCATAGTTTTAGGTCTTACATTCAAGTCTCTAATCCATTTTTTTATTTGATTTTTTTTTTAATATAGTGAGAGGCCTGGGTCTAGTTTTGTTTTTTTTGCATATGGAGATGCAATTTTCCCAGCACCATTTAGTGAAGAGACTGCCCTTTCCCCAGTGTATATTCTTGGTGCCTTTGTTGAACATGGGCTGGCTGTAAATGTGTGGATTTACTTCTGGATTCTCTGTGCTATTCTGTTGATATTTTGCCACCTTGCTAGTAAATGTCTGAGACTCACTTTTTTTGTAACTATGTCACCTGGGAGCAAGTGGGGGAAAAGGCCTGGAGTTAGCGTCTACTTGGAGTCTTGGAAGTCGAAAACAAACAGGGAAACTGTGTGGTCAGTTGGCTTATGTCCCTTTTTATATCCCTGGGCAACTCTGTCTCCCAGTCTACCCAATAACCATCCAAATCTTACCCGCTTTCAAAATGCCTTATTCTAATCCTCCTCAGCATATGAACTTGCCTCCTACTTCAAGGGAAAAATGAAGTTATGACATATGAACATTGGCAAATCTATACTTGTTCCTATCTTTACTGCTTTCCCTCCCATCTTGAGAGAAAGAAGAACCCCTTCTCCTGTTTGGTGATCTTCCTTC